TGGACTTCGTAAAACAACAACTATATTGGCATAGGAGAGAAAAGTAAAAAAAAAGACTTTCCACAACACAATAGAAACGGAATTTTTATGCTCCTGGATTATAAGAACGAACGAGAGTGCGAGAACCATGTTTATTACCTTGGTGATGAGCTGTAGAAAGCTATGCCTTTCCGAATAATACCTATGTGACTGCAAACTGTACTGTGTACAGATAAGCTTAGCGTCTTATGAGGGGTCTCAGTGACCAAAATCAAAAGACGAATGACGTCGCAGATTACACCACATGTGTTCTCTATTGTACAGGATATATGTGAACATTTATGTAGTAAATCAATGCTGGAAAATGTAGGTTGAGATGAACATGAAAAGGCCAAAATTGTAGAAACTGCTTCATGATGAAGAATAGGTCAGCATGAATTGGTGTACTGTGGTGTTAACTGTTGCCGTTACGAACGCCTATAAGTATGAAGGAATGTAATGTACAGTGTGAATTTTTATGAAAGGGAACATGGGAGCGCGTGGCTTGCGCGCTCCGGCGGCTGCTGGCAGCGCGTTCAAGTGGGAGTGAGAGCAACCACAGTCGCTTTTCGCGTCATTTCGCGGAGAGCAAAACAACCATTTGTTGCTTATATGGAACCAGCGGCCAGATTGTGACCCCCTCCCCCCCCCCCACATTCAAGGCGATTGCGTGAGAGCCGGTAGACGCTTTGAAGGGGAGGGGGGGTTGCAATCTTTCCAGTGGTTCCACATGAGCACTGACTGCTTGTTTTGCTCACCGCGAGATGACGCGAGAAGAGAGTGTGGTTGCTATCAATCCCGCTTGAACACGCTGCCAGCAGCCACCGGAGCGGGCAGACCACGCCTCGCCATGTTCTCTTTCATAAATATTGACACTGCAAACAGAATCGGATCCGCAGCTACACGTCCCTGCTCATAAAAGCTTTGCATTGCATAATTGATTCATGTTGTGGCAAATCATCAACGTAAATTCAAAAATCAAGCGTAGAATAGGAATATACATTAAGACGATCACATCAAAGAGCCAACCACACGTCCCAATTGTTTACCCGATGTTTTAAATTGTTCGTAGCACATTAAGGGCTTGACATGTGGTATGCTGTCATCGTTCGTTGTAGCTTGGCGCAAGCACGTATAAAAATAGATAAATAAAGGAAACAAGCGGGAAACTGGAAGAAGAGTTTGCAACAAAAGGAAAACTTTGGAGAAAGAAATAGTGATGCTCAGCTTCACAATTCTTCCTTCAGGCTCCTATTGCGAAGCTGGATAAAGCGAGATGATGAGAAGTAATGGAACAAATAAAATGCAACATTGAGGGAGAGAACCACTAAGAAGAGAGGCAACGGGTTTGCGATACGAACTTAATGCACCACTTCATCCAAGTGTTGCTGTTGTGATTCCTCTCAACAGGACTTGCATGCGCCTCTCCGCGTTTGCATTCGAGAAAAAGGGACACAAGAAATGAAGCCATCACTATATTGCGTACGACAACATACGCCGCTGTCCTTCAACTCGAGCACTGCCCCCATTTTTCCAAATCTCCAAGGACAACAGAAGATGGCAAAAGAAGTCTCGATTGCTGCATGTTATGATGGCCTTAGCTCCTGCGAGATCATTGAGATGTGCCGCCAGCTGCCACCATATCAGTGAGCTTAGCCTCGGTTCTACGTGAAAGCCAGTTTCGCATCACCGTGTATTATCAAATTGAGTATACCCGCATTGTCATGGGTGTTTCAAGGAATGTGTCCTATATTTTTTAAAAATCACAGAAAACAGGTATCTGTGTGCTACTTGCGGCGTTGCCTTCCTGTGGCAGAAGGCATTTTCAGTTGGGTACAAGCATTAATTACAGCAATATTATAGAGATAAACCCAATTAACTTCTTAAAAAGTGGTAATAGCCGGTCGAGTCAAAGGCTGAATTCGAGCTCTTTCTACGAATAGTCCCTAACCACTTCGAAATTTTGGAAAGCGGCCACAGGTAATCACCGCGGAGCGATGCAATCTGGCCAATTTAGCTGGTGAAACCGAAACCGACAAACCAAACAGCGGAATTTTCGACAACATCCTCAATGACAACACTGTTTCCCTAGCATTGGTGGAGAAGAATAACCGACCGTTGATAAGCAGCCTCGAAGCGAAGAGTCTAAATTGACGGTTGATAACGGCGAGGAAAACTGTGTCGTCACTGAGGGCGTTTCACTAGCTAAATTAGGTTCATTGCATCGCTCCGCGGTGATTACCTGTGGCTGTTTTTTCAAAAGCTCAAAGTGGCTAGGGACTATTCGTAGGAAGGGCGTGAATTCGCTCATTTGACTCGACCGGCTATCACTTTATTTCTTTTTTTCTTTCGTTTATTATTTCTTTCGTGGCCCTTGCTCCTGTTTTGTAAGAAACAGGAGCAAGAGCTGAATGCCATGTGGCATAACAGAGGCTCTTACTTCTTCGGGCATTTGGTATGCTTACGAATGATTTGTATGCATGTAAAACAATAAAGCATATGCATGCAAATAGAGAAATTACAGTTTCACATGATATAAAATACCTCTAGGCGACAAAAAGTGTACAAACACTTTATGAAACATACAATAAACAATTCATGTAAAATAAAAAAAGTCATGCAAATACTTCATGAAACAGAACATATCACGAAAAACACTTAATGAAAAAAATGGCAGCATATCCACGGAGTGAATGATTGAGAGTGGGGCGAAGCATTCGTCCGTCCATGCGTCCGTCTGTGTGACCGTCCATGCGTCTGTTCGTGCGACCGTCCCTGCGTTCGTTCATGCATCCACCCCTGTGTCCGTTCATGCGTCCATTCATGCATCTGTCTGTGTGTCCGTTCGTCCATCTATTCAACACTCCAAGTCCCATCATCTCGCATCTTTTTATCATATATTCCCCGTATAGAAGCACCGCCATTCAGTGGACATTCCAAGGACTAGACGAGAGGTGGCACACGCACACTTTCTTACGGCTTACGCTTCGGGTCTACTTCCCACCTTCAACCACCTTGAGTTTATGGTATAAACTAGTTCACTGTATTCATGGCACTGCGGCCCAATGCTCGCTAAACCTTTCCCTTTCTAAAACCAAGGAGATTACGCCCAGCGAGTATAACGTAGCAACCTTTTCCTGTCAAATAGTGCTCAATGTACATGCCAGTGGCTGCTAATGTGAAATGAGAGACAGGAGGATTCAGCTTTTAATTTCTTACGGCTTGCGCTTCGTATTTGCTTCCCCCCTTTAACCACCTCAAATTCATTCATGGTATATACTAGCTCATTGTATTCATGGCACTGCCGCTCAACGCTCGCTAAACCTTTCTAAAACTAAGGAGGTTACACCCAGCGAGTATAATGTAGCAACCCTTTCTTGTCCGATAGTGCTCAATGTACATGCCAATGGCTGCGAATGGGGATCGCAGCGTGCGCATTGACTAAAAGCCGAATGCTCCTCTCTCTCATTCCTCATTAGCAGCCATTGACATGTCCATTGAGCACTATTTTTTATTGTTAAAGAACGCACAGATGAAATCTCTCACCGGCAACACCTTGGAGGTCAAATGTTATACCTATTTCGGGTATGTGCCACTGGTGGTTACGTACTACGAGGGACGCCCAAGCCATGCCATAAGGAGCTTCGCCATAAGGAGCTTCCATAAAGAGTGATGTTAGTCGTGAAATATAGATGTGCCGAAGTGTATGTGCCCTGTTACTGGAATGGTATGAAGCCTTTGTGTTCTGTACATGCTGTAAATAAACTTTTTCTAAACAAGGAGCTTCGCCCCTAAAAAACTGGTCAAAAGTTAATTAGGCTAACTTCTACAATTACTGCCATAATAATGTTTCTACGCATCTGAAGATACCATCCACCCGAAGAAAGGCGATGCTGCAAGTAGCACACTGATACCTATTTTCTGTTATTTTTAAAGAATATAGGACACATTTCTTGAAACATTCTGTATTTGTATGTATAGCTCAGTTGCGATGGTGTTTGTGCAGCTCTGCTTGAGGGCACGGGACAGCACTCACGAGGTCTGAACTTTTACAAAGGTGACTGAAAAAAAATTATTGAAACCGAGGGACGCGGTGTAAAGAATTCCAGGGGTGAAAAAATCGGATACCATACGGCGTGCGTCCTAATCAGACCACAGTTTAGAAACGTAGAAATTGAAATTATTCGTCTAAGTGCAAACAAAAAGCATATCTTCAACTTTAAAGTAGTGTGCTGCGGCAAGGCATGCCTATTTTAGAGTGTGTGGTGACTACGCAGTCAGCCCGATTCATTTGCAACATACATTCATATACACACACACAAGCATGCAAGTGCATAAGAATATTGACATTTATTTTTGTCCAAGTGGCACCGAGTGGTCAGTGATACCCATGAACAGCTTAAAACGTTCTAGAGCTAGAGCTTTTATTTGAATTCCCCGACTGGTGCCTTTTATTGAGATGATGCTATAACACCGCATAGCCCTTATTATTCAATAATATTCAATATTATCAATAGCTTTTAAATAAACCTATGGAGAACAGCTGATATGAACCATAGTTTAGCCAAATTAGGCAACACGAGCCCACTCCAAAAAAGCCATTCTTTAGCCAATAGTTGCCAACATTATGTTGGGTCATTCCAGTAGAGATTCATGAAATATGGTGGGTACGACACCATTTTTTGCAGTTCATAGGTCACCGCTAGCCGTTCCATTAAAAAATGCCGATGTGCTACGCTAGAATATTTTGCAATGCGCCACAAATAATCTTCACCTTTAGTGTACTTCCTTCGAAGCACCGCAAGAAATATCTGACTTGGAAGGCGCTTTTCCTTGACCTGATATTTATATTTGAACATTTCCTATACTGCTTGCAAAACGAAGATATGCGAACAGTGCTATCGTAGTTCAAACACCATTTCCGGAAAGACGAAACTTCCGGGAAGCTGAGTGTTTTTCCCGTGGATGCCACACATGGCTGGGCCTCTGCGGCGATACGTGATTCTGTGTTTCAAGAGTCAGACGTGTGATATCTGCTAAGTTTCAGGCAAAGCCTCAGAAGGTTCCGTCATGGACACCAGGTCGGTGGCATTCGCACTGCTATGCACAGGTACGGGTAACACATTAAATTTATGCCCTTTGCTCATCTCATTAAAGTGACTGCGTCCTGTAAAGTTTGAGGTTCCTAAGATGCTTAGCCATTCGCTCTGAATGCACGGCGTTAAATTGGTATAAACGTGCTTGCTGAAGGTATGACTGCTGCGATATATTATACATTCATACCTTTCACATAAATTTCACGTCATTTGATGTCATCAATTGATTACAGATACAAGTCTATGGAAACAAATCAAAGAAATAACAGTATCAAGCGATTAAGAAGGGATAAACTCCGTAATTTTAGTTTCACTTAGATATTTACCACAGTGTAGTACACACCCACTTGCGACCGATGCCATAATCTTTCAGTCATATCGTCTGTACCATGCCGTACTTCTGAGTACGTCTTAGTGATTTCAAATATATTCAGAACTAGTTGACGATTCATTATTTACAGTAAGGATGCCAGGGCTTGATATTTCACCCCCAGAACGTAACATAAAAAAATTCGATTAGGTGCATTTTTTCCTTGAACCTTCCAGCTTGGTCGCAAGAACACCTTTTATACTCTTGTTCTTGTGGTTAATTGGCTGTTCAGATGCACTGCTGAGCTTGATGTTGCGTATTCGATCTCCAGTAAAGACTTCCTATTCACGGCAGAGACGCACTGTCCCAGCAGGCATGTGGTGATAGTTGACCTTCAGGAAATCAATGACTCCTGAACAGCACAATAAAGCTCAAGTTTCGCCAAACTGGATATGTGGCATGAAAACTTGACTAATCTGAAATAAGCTTGTAATATTATAACTGCTGGGATTACCAATATGCTGTATTTAGATGCGCATTCCCAAGCGAGACGCCACTCACTTCCCATTGCATCAGATGGGGGGACAGTACAACAGTTACCGACACGGCGGACGAGTACAATGCTCTGCGTTGTAGGAGCAGATACTGACAGCCACTCTATTGCAATTCCGTTCTGATAACATCTGAACTTCGTTTAATATCGTCGAGAAATGCACACAGATGGCACATTGAAAGTTCCTTTTGTACGAATGAAGTGTAATTAGGGCTTGAGGTGCCAAAGGCAAAAAGAAGAATCGCCAGATTCCACGTACCAGGGAACTGGCGTTATGCGAAGCATGCGGAAGGAAGGTGACCTCGTTGGAATTTTTTTCTTGAGTTACCCGTCATGAAATGACGCTGAATATATGTACAAATGTTGCACGCACAGGCATATATTGAAGAGCTGCAGATGTTTATATAACCAGTTGTTTGCACTTGCGCAACGATGCCAATTAGAACATGCATATTAGCAACACCAGAAGCTGATATGTAGCGCTGATGCTCGCGAGGATGCTGGCCCTGGGCACTGCTACATAAATCAGCTTCAGTGCATCGGAAGTAACCACAATTGACGTTAACCTGACGTGACGGCTGTATCAAAAGAGTACATATGCTATGTTTATGAAAATGGGTAGCACCACTGCAACCACTATTAGCATTTCAAGAAGATGAACGTCTATTTCAAAAGTATTTCCGAGATCTGGCGTAGCTCTGTGGTAAAATACTTCATTTCAACGTAAAATGATTTGGTTCAGTGCCATCTGAGACCCTGAAATTTATTGTTTGCACTTGTCGGGTCAACAGTACCGGTGTGGGGTAATTCTTAACGCTCACGCTTTAAAATTGCCCATGTGTGTTCTCGTCGTTACTGGGTAGGGACTAAACGTCAATCACCTGTGGCCCATACCCACACACCAGTTGGTGTGTGCCACTGCCTGACGGATAGTGCTTGATGACGTATGCAACGGGATTTTGACATTATTCATGTCTTGACCAGTGCGTCATATTCGTCAAACCATCTTACCCTCTAATGCTAATTTTGTTTCCCGCCAAGTTAAAGGGATGACCATGAGAGCACCCAAACGTAAGCGGATAGATAGATAGATAGATAGATAGATAGATAGATAGATAGATAGATAGATAGATAGATAGATAGATAGATAGATAGATAGATAGATAGATTCACCGAAGCTCGCTAAGAAATGCTTCACATTTAATAATCTATTTGCCTTGAGTGAGAATAAAACGAGTCTTCCGCGTGGCAAACGGGTGTTCCACCACGGAGATATGGCAACACTTCAAAATCCACAGACAAAAAAAAAAGACAACCCTATACGAAGTTATAGGAATTTGAAAATAATTTTTATTAAGCAAAAAGGTGCAATACTGAAACTGAAACCCAACCGGGCACCCTGTCTGTGTATGACGTACTATTTGGCAAGAATTGGAGGCCGTATACTGCTCCCGCCGGCGCGGAGTATGAAAACTGTGAGAGCCAGGCCAGCGAAGCGCCAGCCAAGCAACACAGAGGAAGGAAGAAAGCTTTCCCGTGCTGTAACCGTGCCAAACACCACCGCAGTCGTCTTGTGGCCAGCACAATAAACCCTGTAGCGGCCAAAGTAGCGATGCCTTCGGCTGCGTCCCTGTGACGTGATGCCAAATATGACGTCGCCCAGACAGAGTTGCCAAGAATTCTGGCAAGCAAGGTGATCTTTTTAAGGCAATCTCTAAAAATTTTTTCTGAGCAATCAGCGCATCTCTCAAGTCTGTTTGGGCATAAATGACGGAAATGTGCAAAGAAACGTACCCAGCGAATTTTGAGATCTATCAACCTCCAAAAACCACCGGAGTTGGCCTTTAACGAGTGTAATACTATGAGGTAGAAGCGTAGAATCGCACCAGGCGTCTATACACGAGAACTGCGCAATAAGTTTCAAGCTTAATGGCACACTCTTTGCAAAGCCCTTAGGGTCGTGAGCTTATTCACTATCAAAAGCAGCTACATCACCAACAAGTTGTGCTGCTGCGGAAGTGCGTTTGTTGCTTTACGAATGCGTAGAGGGTAGGTTGCGAAGAGGGATATAATAATGTCAGGAGTTTTACGTCCCAAAACCATGATTTGAGAAACGTCGTAGTGGAGGGCACCGGAAGTTTCGACCGTTTGCTGTTCTTTAGCCTTCACTGACATTCGAGAGTTTAGGCATTTATAAGAGCTTGAGACATATTCTTACGCAGACAGAGTTATTTTTCTTTTTTTTTTTGCTCTTGCGGCAAGTTTAACCTGCCCATCGAAGAAGGCTGGTGAATGAGAAGATGATATGAACGGGGATAGATTACACTACAGCGTCGCAATTTTCTTTTCGACATAAGAACGGTTTGAAGTGCACACGTGTTTTGCATGTGAATTGTTAGGAAGTGTATCAAAATGACGCTTGTTTTAAAGTGGTATATGAACGACTTTATGTTGGTCTAACGGATACTGTAATTTTCAGACAGAGCAACTGAGCAAATAGTGTTGGTGTCGCACGACATACTTAAAATCATCTTCAAATTTTTATGGTTGAAATCGGAATCAGTGCCGTAAACATTGCTTGATGTCATATGTGCGGTAACCTTGCGTGGCACTTTTTAAAAGGTCGACAATCCCCATTATCACGGACTGTTTTTGTTAGATGAAGGTAGGTTATCATGCAGATCAGAAGACCACTAGAGGTAGTCTTCAGACGCAGCATTTAAATGAAGAATCTGTGTATGGGCTTCGCTTATAGTATATATTTTGTCCAACCATCATGGCTTTTGTCGAATGCTTTTATAACGATGCCACTGCGTTTACCCAGTAACCTGATAGCTTTCGTTAGATATATAATGATATATTTATTTAAATCACACTGGCTTTTCGTGGGCTTTAAGTATATCATGTTGCACTGCGTCAATATACATGCACGTATGTTTGTTTGTCTCGCTGGGCTATATGGGTACCAACGCTTTTTTGAAGGCATAACCGACTGCATGCCACTAGTGTGCGGATGGCCATAGAAAAAAGTACCCTCTAATACAGATGGTTGTTCATTGTTTAAAAAGTATTTTAAACGTGCTGTGGACTATCTTAAACAATAGGAGTAAGTTCTGAAGAAGTGATGATGAGGTTTCGTGCCTCTGACAAACATTTAGCCTGCATATGACTTGTGAACACAAGCTTTTATTGAAAGACGTGAGTCCTGTAAGCGTAACACGGGCTGCTCAACATGCATGACGAGTGTAAGCAAGTGATTCGCTTCTGAAACACTTTCACCACCATTTTTCAGTTTCAAGAATTCGCTGCAAGTATTCCCCTTTGTGGCACTACGCTCACCTGGTTATGTCGTAGGTTTCTTCTCTGCTGAAGTCTGTCGGGAACAAGTCCACTCGGGGCTCGGTCCGCGTTGCTGGTTGGGGTATACGGCCGTAGACTGGTAGATGCAATTTCCGGCGAAGAGGATAATCTGGTTGCTTTGCTGATGGGCTGGTTGAGGACGTGGTAATGCAAGCCGGTAGCTGCACTGGCGCGGTCTGGTCTGTTGTACTACATAGTCCAATGGTTGACAGGACTGGGTGGTGTTTAGGTTGACTAGGTGAAAGCCAAGTTCTTGGCTAAAACTACGCTGTAGTGTTCACTTATTGCTGGGAACTTACTGGAAGAAAGAAAGCTTTGCTTTGAGCGGCTGGCTTGCTGCCAGTAGGGTGCGTGTTGGCTCGATCGGCAGAAAAGAAACAGTGTCCTTTTATAAAGAAGAAAAGGCATCGGTAGTACTAGAAAGCCATCTCTACATATGCGTAGCCATTAGGCAATGCCCACAGAACAAGGTTGGCCACCATTAGCAGCAATAACGTTAGCGAGAGACATTTTTCCCAATCCGTCGTCGGTGCAATTCATTCACGTAACTATAACGCCGAAGAAAGTTCGGCAGAAGACTGTTTAAATATCAGTCGCAACGCAGAAAGGTTAGCGCAAGTGACCGGTGGTTGGCGCGAGAAAATATCGATACGCGGCTCTGTTGTTCCCGAGTGCAGTGAAGGTGAGAGTGCTAAACACATTCCATTTTACAGAACAGGGATGGCCGGCAGAAAGCAGCTCATCTTGCTGTTAACCCAACCAAAATCCCATACTTTAAATAAACTTTTGTGTACTGGTTATGCCCGATAAAGCGGATTTCTTCTTTTTTTACTCTATAGTTCAGTATCTTTATCGCTGCTGCCCCTAAAAAGCTGTTGTGTTTTCCACCAGCCAACCCCCTTTGAAAATGGAATGTGCTTTACACTCTCGTTATCGGCGTGCTCGGAAACAACACCACGTGTGACAACCTTGCCGCTCCAGTCTGCGGTAGCTCGTGCAAATTTTTTTTTCGTTTTGACTGTACAGGCCTCATGACTGCACTTTGTAAGAAACACCCGTTTTTTTCCTATAAATTCGAAAAGTTTTCATTGGTGTGTTTCTGCGTATTCATTAGCTCACACGCCTGTATTTCTGTTGCCGTTTTTTCTTGTCATATCGTGTGTTCACACACCCATGCATTTGCCAGATAAATTCTGGGCGAAGTGCAGTGCTATGACATGACATTATTCGTTATATTTGCTGCTGGTATTCATTGTGTACAATGGTCAACTCTCCTGTCTTGAACAAGGGAGCGTCACACTCGAAATGGCACGAGCGACATCTGTAGTATAAAACATCCCACATACGAGCATGTGTGGTGCCGATGATATGCCAGCATTGCAGTTTCTGTCTTTGTTATCGTCGCGGCAGCGATGACAGCTTTGGCCATCGAAGTGCACTGTCAAGTCTAGCACCTACAAAAAAACAAAACAAAGTGAAATCATCAGGAACGGTGCTCTTCATAAAGTGAACGTAATATTGGTTTGTGGTATCATATAGCGCTTAGTTTTTGCTTTGTTTTGTTTTTGCTGGTGTTTTTCGTTGTGTGCTAAATCACTCAAAGTACTTTCGACAAAAAAAAAGTGCTGTTGCATCCCTGCTGATAAACAAGGACAACAGAGGCAAGTGACACCTGTCATTGGAGCCGCGCATGTTCAGATGTCGCTCCTGCCGTAACGTGCATGATGCTCTATCATTCAGAGTTGACCACTCCGCATCCTGCGTACATCACTACAATGGAGGCTTGTTCTGACACGGAAACGTCAATCTTTACAGTCTTACCCTCGTATTCAGAAACATTCCTTGACTTGAAACCGCCTTCAACGCAGTGCATTTGAAACGCGTCTGTGCGTTTGTGCTGCCTTGGCACCGCCTACAGACAGCGCGTTTGAAACGCGTTTGTGCTGCAGGCATTGAAGTCGGTGGCAAGTCAAGTTCAATTCAAGCACCGATTCTGAATACGGGGGTTAGTCATTCTACACGCTTGTCCGAAGAAATTATATGTGGGGTTTAAGGTCCCCAAACTATAGGATTATGAGAGATGCCAGAGGGCTCCGGAAATCTCGACCACACGGGGCTCTTAAACGTGCACCCAAACCTGAGAACAACAGCATTTTCACCTTCATCTAAAACGCAGCCGCCGCAGCCAGTATTTGATCCCGCGACCTACGCGTCAGCAACCGAGTACCTTAGCTTCTAGACCAGCGCGGCGGCGCCTTGTAAGAAGAAAGAATACTAATAAGTGTTGGGGCTTAACGTCTTCATTTATCACATCTCTTGTACAAAAGAGCCATTTCTCATTGCTGGTATGCGGTCCCAACGAAGACATGAAATGCTGTCAAGGGCAACAACAAGAACGGCCACTTTCGCAATAGGGTCACTTAAACGAGCAAGCCGGTTTATACTGATAACCAAGAGTATAGCTTCATGCGCTCGCTTTAGACACGGACACTCAATAATGTATGCTGCTTAATCGATGATTTATAGGTAAGCACAGTTGGGTCTCATTGATCAAATGATAAATAATAATATTTAAATGTGAAGTTTTAGATCCTAAAAGGACGATATGACTTTGAGGTACGCTGGAGTGGAGGGCTGCGGAAATTTCGACCACCGGGGGGTTGTTTAACGTGTTGTTAAAACCAAGTGCATGAGCATTCTCGCCTCCATCGAAAGTGCGGCTGCCGTGGTCGCGATGCCATCCCGCGAACTACGGTTCCGCAGTCGAGCACCACAGCCATCTATAGAACACCCTGGCCGGTCCTTACAAGAGAGAAACACTGTATCGCATATACTGTATAGAGTACCAATAGTTCTGCTATCCATTTTCGAACGCCCAACTCGACTTCCTCTGCTCACCGGCTGAGTCAATGCGCTATGCACTGCAGGCCATTCCTTATTGGCTCGTAGCAATGCATATCAGTGCGTATTTTTAAATGTTAGATGATACTTCGACTTGGGCTTCCTTAGTGCGTGTGTGTGAACTTTAAAGGTGTGGTAAAAGGCTGGTCCAAGATTACATACATAGAAATGCCGATATGCACACGCAATCAGAGGTGAATACCCATCGTCCATACCATGTTGAATGCGTCGGTTTTCGTCCAATCTGAGGTGAATCTTTGTTGACTTGTGAACATCTTTCAGATTAAACAGCTGAAAAAAGAACATGCAAAGATACTTTCTGATTAGAATATAAGAATCTATTTCAGAAAACGAAAATTCGGTAGGCACAAGGCCATGTGAAAATCAGTTTCAAGTGAAGCATGCAGTGAGTTGTTTTCTACGCTGTGTTTTCCTGGCTTTCAGTCAAGGGTTACGATGTGCTTCTACGTGTTTTTGTAAGTGTGCTAGTTGTGTGTACATCATAGATTTACCAGGAACACCGTTTCTGAAAGCATTCAAATAATATTGTGTAATATCAGTTCTTAAGCTAGAACGCAGACGCAAGCACTATCGAATCAAAGCGCACTTTACGGTGTGATGATGTGAATAAAATTCCATTATTTCATTATCGTACTTCTCTAGGACAAAAACATGTGCGTTTTACAGCTTTCTGAATCATAGAAATGTAAATGCAATGTTCAATAGAGTTCTATAAAAGCGGTGCCAACGATCAAACCAGAATCAACGTTAACCCGACAAGACGCTTGTATCATAAAAGTTCACATGTAATGTATATTTGGGCAATAAAATTAGGTAGCTAGGACTTGAACTACCATTTACACTGCACCAACGTTATGCTTGCACAGCATCTTTGTTCCAAAGAAGTTTCAAGAACCGGCGTGCCTCCGTGGTAGCATACCTGGCTGCTAAATAGAATGCCTAAGTTTGATTTCTGTTCAGATCCTGATTTTTATCCTTTACCTTCGACGGGTAAACGCTGCTGATGTCTGGTTTTCTTAACACCCTCTCATTCAACTTTCCGATTTCTGTTTTCGCCATTACCGCGTAGACATAAAATTCTCAATAAGCCGTGGCGCACACCCGTATACCACGGTATTTGGGTGAGTGGAAGGATTAATAAATTTATTATGGTCCTTTGGTGCGTACGTTATGCGCGCAGCGGGCCGCTCCCACGTTGGGACAGAGAGACCTTGCCCCTCTACCGCGTCACGGGCCCAATGGACAGCCAATACTTGTATATGCCCCATGTTTCTAGAGAAAGGCCTCGATTATGTACGCGGCAGGATTTTAACGTCATTCATGTCGCGACCAGGCAGCCATGTTATACAAACGCTTTTACACTCCCACGCGAGTTATAGTCAATGCCAAATCAAGGAGGCGATCTCTACATACATAAATACATACATTCATTCATACATACATACATACATCCATCTATCCATCCATCCATCCATCCATCCATCCATACATACATACATACATACATACATACATACATACATACATACATACATACATACATACATACATACATACATACATACATACATACATACATACATACATAGCATGCATGCATGCATGCATGCATGCATGCCTAAAGAACTCCGAAAGTGCCTTTGGTACGCCACAAGCACTTTGGCGAACACGATTTTGTCAAATCTTATGTGGTTGAAACACTTGAAAGCAACATCGAATGTGAAACGGCCATAAAATTTATTATCATTAGGTTGACCTCAAGTGGTCACACCGCCATTCGTGAGATCTACCAATCAGGAATGCCGGTGCTTAGCTAAAGGGCAGACGTACAAGGGGGGGGGGTGTCGAAAGTTCCCAGATCATGCTGTAGAATTTTCCAGATCACGCTGATGAATTGTGAATACACGAAATACTATCCTGTGAAATTTCACCTCCCCCCTCTTGTACGTATAGGCCTACATATTAAAATCCGCAGTAATGCTCTCTGGCTTTACACAGACACAGCATCACATATTCTTAGACAATGAAGGAGAATTTTCCCTAGAGCATTACAATAAACGAGTCTGCTTTTCTTAACGAATTGTTTTCATTGTTAAGCTTTCAGAATGTTGCTCGTAGAGCCATGACAAGGTTTAATTTGAACAATGAAATTAAAGCAACCGCAAAACGAACGTATTTTCATTTTTTTTTCAGATGAACGTTCGATGGGGGTGACAATAAGCTCATCGCATAGTGCTCTGTCACAAAACAATAACCATTCACCCAGAGAGGGCCTGGCGCAAATATGCTTACGTTGGCACTTATACAGATGCTACAATATACCTCGAGCATACACCACCTTAGGGATAGTTCAAGACACATTTAAATGCGTGTTCAGACTTACGTCGAGCATTTGCCCCTGCGTCATATATTTCAACGGCCTCTCCTATGGATAACGTAATTTTTCATGAATAAACGTGAATTGATTCGTGTTTTGAGGGAGCGGTACGTCACAGAAGAAAGTCCAAGGAAACTTTATTCCCCTAATGTGCCCAGAATACGATATCGAAAATTCGAACTTTTAACGTCACAGTGACGTCATATTCTTTCAGTGAATTGGGAGCATGGGACGAAGGAAGAATCACACATCACGAACGAGACTTCCTTCGTTCGATGTCTGTTTTTGCACTACAAGTTGTCTGAACAAGTATGAAGTACCAGCTATAGCGATTGTTCTGTGAAACTGACATTCATATGCTAAACTTCAGGTGGTAAATAAAAAAAAAGGGAACCATATTCTGTGGTTTCACTGCTGATAACACAATATAAAGATAATGAAAATTGAAAGAATAATATTAGGGTACATATACTAATGTATAAAAGGGATTTTGGGTCGCCTTAAAAAGGAAGCATAGGTGCATTTTTGACCCTACTGAGATAATGCCGTTTTCAAATATTTCTGACTATCCTTCCGCAGCTGGGGGGGGGGGGGTGGTTCCTATTATTCAGACACGCATTGTAAATCCTATTTAAACAATGAATGATGAGTGAAACGCGAACTGAGACACGCAGCTGCTCCATCCTCTATGGTGGGATCAGATGACGCCACCAACTGATGACGTATCTGAAGACGTCATGAAATCCGCTGCACGCCACCACGGCTGACCAGTGCGTAAACATAGCTCACATGCTTTCTATCATCATCAGCCTGACTCGTTCACTGCAGGACAAAGGCCCCTCCCATGTTCCGCCAGTTAACTCGTTCCTGTGCTTGCTGCTGCCAATTTATACCCGCACACTTTTTAATCTCATCTGCCCACCTAACCTTCTGTCTCCCCATAACCCGCTTGCCTTCTCTGGGAATCCAGTTAGTTACCCTTAATGACCAGCGGTTATTCTGTCTACGCGCTTCATGCCCGGCCCATGTCCATTTCCTCTTCTTGATTTCAACTTTGATATCCATAACCCCTGTTTGTTCCCTAATCCACTCTGCTCTCTTCTTGTCTCTTAAGCTTACACCTGCCATTTTTCTTTCCATTGTTCGCTGCGTCATCCTAAATTTAAGCGGAGCCCTCTTTGTATGTCTTCAGGTTTCTGCTCCGTAGCTAAGTACCGGCAAGGTACAGCTACGGCAAGGTACAGGTATACCTTTAACTTGAGAGATAGTGGCAATCTACCTGTCATAATTTGAGGGTGCTTGCCCTCCACCTCATTCTTATTCTTCTAGTTACTTGAATCACGTGGTTCGGCTCCGCGGTTATTACCTGCCCTAAGTAGACATAGTCTTTTACAACTTGAAGTGCACCATTACCTATCTCGAAGCACTGCTCTTTTCTGAGGTTGTTGTACATTACTTTCGTTTTCTGGATATTCATTTTAAGACCCACCTTTCTGCTCTCCTTGTCTGACTCCGTAATCATGAGTTGCAATTCGTCCCTTGAGTTACTCAGCAATGTAATGCCATCGGCAAAGCGCAGGTTACTAAGGTACTCTCCATTAACTCTTCAGCCTACTGTTCCCATTCTAGGCCTCTGTAAACCTCCTGTAAGCACGTGATAAATAGCATTGGGGAGATTGTATCCCCCCGCCTTACGCCTTTCTTAATTGGTATTCTGTTGCTTTCTTTATGAAGCAACAGAGTTTTTCTCGGAAGAGGCACATTAACCTGCTGACTCCCCATCCTTCACTTCTTGTGCGTCATGTCACCGTCGCTGACTTGAATGCATATTCAATTAAAGAAAACGGTTCTCTGAGTTATGAAGTGGAATAAAACTGGCGGGATGCTTTTGCTCAATGCAAGCTTTCGTATTCTACCTTGCGCACCCTCTCACCTTATATTCCCCTCCCCCATTTTTTTCAATACTGCCCCCCAACACATGGGCGCCTTTGGCCGAAATTCTGTCAGTGAAAATTTGTAGGACAACGTAGAACACTATCGTATACGATCAACTGCATGCGCTCCCCCTCCCTACAGGCATAAAGAGAGAATACAATTTTGATAGCATTGGTTTGGGAAACCGGCCGAAGTGAGAAAGCCCACGCAAACATGGCCATGGCGGCGCCTCCCCGAGTCCCGACGTGACGATTCAGAAAATGCACGTTGGCTCTGTTGTAGGCTACACCAAGGTCAGGGTGGCGTCGCCACCACACCCTTTGGTGATATTGAGAAGAACCACTATAATGCACGGCAACACCGCACATCCCTGCGTCCAGTGGTTCACGCTTATGCAGCTCATGTTTGTGAATGGAAACACATACTTAAGCAGAACGTAAATATTTTATCTCAATTCTTTTAGAACCAACTGTTCAAATTGTCGTTCAATATGCGGGTTTTAAATACTTGACGGCGAAGTGCCCATTTGAAAAATGATATTTTATGCAATATTTCGATGAATGAAACCAAAATAAAGCTTTTTTTTGCACCTCGTACTGCTTGCTAACTTTATTGCAGCATTTAAAAATCCCGAGAACGCTTAACCACTTTTTATTACGTAAGCCTGGGGACCCCAAAAAAAAAAAACTGGCAAATAATTGCCGAACTTGTTAGGAAGACCAGGAATTCGGGAGATCAAGCAAATGGAGATCAGACATTTCTGAATTTAGAGCTCACAGCTGGTCTTTCGGCACTCCCACTGCTTCGGGGTGAGATCATTTTATTGTTATCGTTATTGTTATCTTTTTTTTCTTGCAACTTCGCTTGACACATACCCGTGTGTGCATCGCTGAACAAAGAGGACATAAGGTAGGAACGTATCTTACTACACTCCTAATAGCTACTAATGTAATACTATGCTCAAAGACGTCATGTACGCCTGAGTACAAGTATTCTCGAAGTCTAAGACCACAACGCATTCTCTATGTCTACCTTTTGTTAGCCAAAGCCAAGGGTAGGCATAGTGTAAAAGAGGGAACAAACGAACAATTGGTAAAAGAAAAACAGAGGCTTAAGTTAGTGTGAAACAAATGCACTATCCCAACAGATACTGAAGGAAGAAACAAACTATTCCTGCACATTGGTACCCCCACACGAAAGGTGCGAACACTCTACTGACAGTCTGTTCTTTATTTCACGAGCAGTTTGGTAACTGACACACTTAAAAAGCTTTTGTAACAAAGAAAACATTGCATAGCTGCGCACAAGCGAACACCCAATGTTCTCCTCACCCCATCTATGCTTGCGAGGCGCGCTTGACAAGCGTGAGTGCTAACGAGCAGTGCGGCTCAGTGTTGCATATTCGGCGCAAAGATACAAGCTGTCTGATAGGTGGTGCACTGTTCCTGCTAATACCAGCTGGCCTAAAGGGTCTCGTACCTCATTACTGAGTTTTAGTAAATCTTAGTTTTCTCTATATTCCCGACCGCTCTATTCGCGTAACAAAATAGGTTAGCCTGTTTTAAACGCTACTTTTGTCAGCATTAAAATGTTATATCGACATTTGATCACTGCGGCAGCGATGAAACAATACAGCAAGTTCTCTGTCACTGCCCTCGTTAGAGCGTGCAATGACGGCAGCTAGCTGCTGCATTAGCTCGCTTTGACTACAGACTCTTGTTAGAACAGTCGGTGCTTGAAAAGTGACATAATCTGTGTTCGCACAGAAAATCAGTGAAAGCCTTCTTGAACATTTTGCGTGGTTGTGGCCTACTGAATAGGCTATAGCACCCAAGCTCACTTTTTTCCTGTTCTCTTTCACACGTCTATTTTGCTCTTCGCTTACTTTCCCACCTTTATTCCCCATTCTCCTTTTTTAGTGCAGGGTCGCAAACCGGATGCTCCAATTTCTGGTTAGCCTTCCTGCCTTTCCTTCATTTTATTCTCTCTCTCTAGGCAATAACACATTTGAGCTTAAACAATATTAAAACACCACACCCTTTCAAACAAGCTCACCCTTCAAATGCTTTATGTAGCGCGAGAATCGCTTCTTTAAAAATTAGTACGGTGATATTACTTCACGAGATGTGCCACCGAGCTACTACACCTGAAACTTGATAACGCATTTTGAACGTTTTTTGCAGCACTTAAAGCATCTCGTGACACCGGCTTTATGGGGGCGTTCATTTTTTTTGCTCAATAGAACTATTAGGATGCATTTTTTACATTGAGGAAATACACAAATGGAATTCAACTTCCCAGCCAATTCCGGAGTGGGAAATGGGCTGAACTTTTTCATGCCAAAGAATAAAAAAAAAATGAAATTGCAACGAGTCCTAATTCCACGAAGTGGGATTGGAATAGAATAGACGTGCTCATTCCACAACACTGATGTGCGATGTCAGTGCTTGTTAAAGAAAACCAGATGGTGAAATGATCCTGAGCCCTTATTTACGGCGCTTCTCATCTTATTGCGTTGTTGGGACGTAAAATCCCAGATAATATAATTCATAAACAGTGTGAACGACTAAGCAAAACAGCGAAAACGAGGACCACATAGGTGTCCATCAGTCCTACACTGCCTTTTTAGCATTGCACCTCCAGTGCAAGATATTCTTTTTTTTTCTTTTACAGCATCATAGATGCCCTGCAGCGTAGTTCTGTAAGATTTCTCGAACCAGGTGACTTAGGAGCATTCAACTTCATCGTTGGGGTTCCGTCTGCTGTGTTTGTTTTTCACTGTATTGCACCAGAATAAGGTGACATGTCTCTGTTTCCACCAGTGCTCACGGTCTACGCTCAGCCGTACGACGGGGGCATCATCCGTTCACCCGGAGACTTTTACGAGGATCGCCCAGGTGGACTGAATCGTGGAGGCGGTCTCGAAAGGGAGTTCGCCGGTGGCCTCGAAAGGGAGTCAGTTGGTGGCTACGGAGGCGGGTATCGAAACCGGGGCCCTCAAAGGTTTCCAGTGTACGCATCTGAAAGCTATCCCGCTAGAAGGCCGGGAAGGCTGCCAAATCGGGAGGTCTACCCCGGAGGCTTGCCAGGAGGAACCAGCCCGACACTTTGCGGAGTGAGTAATATTCTGCACAGAAGTGTCAATGCCTGAAAACGACAGCGCAAGAATTTCAGTGCTGTTAAGGACAGCGTGTTGGTGGAACAGACAACAGTGTTACGAGGTTACGTGTACATGGCTACAAGGGATGTTGGTGAATTCTCCCAAGTTTTCATACACAGAAATACCGAAAAAAGTGCAAGAAAGAACAAGCGCCGCTGTAGCGCAACTACAAAAGCTTCGGACACGTTATCCGATGGTTGCAGGTATACCATCCTTGGTGGCCAAAAGGGATATTTTTATCTATTTGACATTTCTGTGCATTATTCTCCTATTTCCCACGCAACTGTTGCAAAACTACAAGTGTGATGCCATATACCATCCATAGCTTCGTTGTCAAACTGCTTCACTAGAATATGTACAGAATGAAGCCTTGTGTTCTCTTTTCTTTCCAGAGTGACCAGTACCATTTGGGCATGTTACAGCACTACCAGTGTTCGAATGGGCGTTAGTCAGTTTTGAACGCTTTGAGAAATACGGTCGCATGCTATGTCTATCATGCACTTCCGTGCTGACACCAATTGGTTTCTGCTTATTATTAGGGCCCAATAAATCGCGAAATAAATGAACGAAAATTGTAATTTACTTAAGGAGGGCTGTGTTAATTTCCAACTTTGTGTAATTTCTCTACAAATATATTTTAGTGTCTGTACGAAATGAACTTGCCAGGAACGTTGATATGAGAAAATGGCGTGCGCATTAAACGCCTGGATTTGTTTATTGATTTATTTATTGCACCTTCAAGGTTTTCAAGTATTGCAATGGAAAGGGCACCTACAGATATACAATCGAGTGCACCTCACATAAAAAGAACTGTAAGTAAAAATGTGTTGAATGTAAAAATTACGTGAAATTGTGAATGTTATTAGGGACACGCGATCATGCATACAGACTCATGTGCATCTTCTATTGAAAACTCTCACTTGATTGAAGCTTCCTCTTTTTTTCTCAGAAGCATCACGGTACAGAAATAAACTGAATGATTAGGTTATTGCACACTGGTGCCAGAGAGGCATAGTTACCTGAGACTACATACGGGTGAAAAACTCACTGTTTCGAAGGAATAAATGAGACAGCACTTGATTGGAATGCTACACGAAGAGCGGCACGCTGCTTGAAACTTGCAGTGTGCTGCTTAAGCACAAAGAACGCACAAAAACAACACGTACGGGACGACTACCAACTAACAACAGTCAGAATTTGACATTCACAGATCGCTGATCAAACACAGATAAGGACGCTCGAAAAGAGCACACCGGTACACACAAGATGAGCGCTAACTAACGACTGTAACAGCTGTTACTTCGGGCCTGAGAAGCACGCTGCAAGTGTACACCATGCACAGCCGACAAGTACATACGTTGCTGTTCAAGCTAAAAGCTCAATCTTTTCCCCAAACTCGGCAGCTGGTAAGCATGCGATGTTCCCTTCGTAGGACCGGTAGCTTCAACGGAAACTTCAAGGACGACAGGTTTGTACGAGCAGCTGTAGACTCATAGTGATGTCCTACGAAAAAAGACTCGCACTCTGCTTGGTCATACTGTGTGTGTGTGTATGTGTGTTTGTGTGTGCTGGTGTCTGTTTGGTTATATGGTTAACGATGTTTGGTTAAAACTGGTTAAATCCTCGCCCTTGCTCTAGCTCTTGGCTTCTTTTATTTTTTGTTTAGTTGAAAGCACAATACGTACAAACCATACCCCACTGACAGGATACGTGGGCCAGCAGAGGCGATGTCACCATTTAGGGCAAAGTACAGGCCAGAAACCGGTACTCTGCGCCCGCCCCCCCCACACACACACCACGAGAGTTGTGTCTGAGAGAAAACAAGCTCCGCTGTGGATTCAATTATGTAGATGAATCAATGACACCCTCCTCACAACGGCCGGCTATCGGTGCCCACCTTTCCGGGGATAAACGTGAGGACTAATCGATCCTTTTTGTTGCTATGAGGGGTTTTTAGCGTACTCCGGAATGAACATCAGAGGTACTGAGTTGTTATTCTCGTCAAAACTGATGCTTTATATCAGAGTTAAAGCTGCATGTATGGAAACATCTAAAACGACAACGTTATCAACAACACTGCTCTACTTATCGAGAAATTAAGGTAAATGCACAAGAACACAAGCACAGCAGTTGGACGTTTTCAAAACAATCCCTATTACATCAGACGGGCCACTTACAGTTAATCACCAGTAATCGACCTAACTGCAATAAATAAGGAACCTTCAGTGCATCAAGAGACGCAATAAAATGCTGCTTGTTCGTTTCTGTTTGGTTCATGCACTCTAAAAAAATATCGAGTAAAAAGGGTGTCTTTTTGTCCCACAACAATAATCGTCATCAGGCTTGCATGTGCTTCCTTTTTTGAAAACTCGGCGCTGGCCACTTTCTTATCGAGCATGTAATGTAACCCTGATGATGGACATGTCGATCGTGACCGGAATGTGCCGGGTGCGGGGCGATAGCGCAAGGATGGAACGCAATATAGATGACGATTATTGTTGTGGGACAAAAAGGCACCCTTTTTACTCGCTCTTTTTTTAGAGTGTGGAAAAAAGAACCGCTGGAACGGGACGTTACTATGGGGAATGGCACGAAGGGTTCAAAAATTCAGTTTTCGCGTGGTTACACGGGGCAGGTGATGCTATCTAGCGGGGCACAATTGAAACAAAAACGTCTGCAATCTCGAAGCCAATGGTGGGAAATTTATCAATGGCCGTTGTTGCTGCTGTGGCTCCCGCCGCTTTCGGACTGCTGCTACTAGCGCAGTAAAGCCGGGGAACGCTGTGCATGGCAAAGGTGACGTGTGCCGGTCCGGTCGTTTTGCTTCTATAGGCGGGTAATTTGAAGTGCGCTAACCCGACGCGGACCACTAAAACGTGATTTTATTTCAAAGTAGGCCCTTTCTTGCCACAGAAGTAACACTACGAGATTTCTGGACTGCCATTTCAACAATCAACGTTGACTTAATAGTTGCCTTTAGTGCTCCTTTAAGAACGAGTACGCGTGGTCGTACGTCAGGAATACAACGTTTACTCTATCAAGGCTTGCTCCGCATTCCCTAAACTTCATCCTTCTCTTTCTCTAAGTCTCTCATCTCCCCCTAGCCACTGCCCCACTTCTTTATTTTGAACAGTGATAATGACAGAAATTATGTATCTATATTTACGTGGCTTTTCAGGGTCACATATGCCCCGTCGGAAGCCGGTGTGTGTCACTACGGAGCAATTGTGTGAGGAAACCATGCCATCCTACCAAGATATGTGAGTAGATATGACGTAGTTAATTATTGATGCATTGGCGAAACAAGCGATGTGCTGGAAACAACTAAGTAGTAGATAAGAAATTCTACAATATTTGTTTACCAAATAAATTTTTTGTTCTAGCTTGCAAAAGTAACCGTTATAATATGCATTGATTTTCATTCAATTAAAAATAGAATACAATGATTAGGTCTTTTTCTTTGGGGGGGGGGGGGAGGAAGCATGCTTTATCGAGCAAATGGAAGCATTAGAGAGTATGAAAATGTTCTGTTCAGCACATGGTAACAATGGTTAACATTCGCAATTATCACTTCCTTCCGCATTTCCCTGTTGATCGCTGTCCGGAATCAGTAATTAATTCCACTGATGCTTTCCAATAGGGCCTCAATGTTTTTTTACTTTCCCAAAAGGTTTTATACATGTCAAACTGTTACATAATTTAAGCGAGTTTTTGTCAACCACGCCTTACAAGAAAAAAAATTGCCCGCAGCTTCCCTCGGGGGAACACTGAGGAGGATGCGGAGCATATAATTGGTTAACGGGGTGTTAAAGTGCGACTTACTTGGGTCGATGGCTAAATTGGTTAAACGTGGTTGTGAAATGGGGTGTTAAATTGCGACTTACTTGTGTCGATGGCTAAATTGGTTAACGTGGTTGTAGGAGGGGGTGTTAAATGAGTGAACACGTACACACGTATGCGAAAGGGCGGCGCTGGTCGAAGGGACGTCGATCATTGTGTTTGTGGATTCGTTGGAATTCATTTCACCGCGACCTTGGACGTCGACGCGCCGTACAAACCAACCGACGAGCGGCAACTGAGCGAGCGAGCGCCGACCTTGAGTATATATACAGCGCGACGGCACATGCACTGTCAGCTGTCGAATGTTCGAGAAGGGGGAGAAGCGCAACGGCGCATGCGCGCGCGTCAGCTGCCGATGTTCTCGAAGCGCGACGGCGCATGCGCGTGCGTCAGCTGCCGATGTTCTCGAAGCGTGACGGCGCATGCGCGCTACATTATACAGCTAGCGAATGTTCGTGAAGAGGAGAAGCGCACGCGGTGTGTATAGGAGGAAGGGTGCACAGATGGTGGAGGAGTGAAGCGCGCGCGGTGTGCAGAGGAGGAAGGGATGCACAGATAGTGGAAGAAGGAGGAGGAAGCTTGCGGACGGCGCCGCACTACAAGCCTCGAGTATTAGATGCTCCGCATCTAAAATATCGACGTAGTGGTAGAAAACACTTCTGACAATATCACAAAGAAAGGGCCCTATATGCCCTCTTGGTTGCTAAATGTCGTTAGTGCCAACTGCCGGAGAAGGTCGTTTAGATAACAGCAGCAAACGCTACATATGTGCAGTGAGTACAATTTTTTTGTAGCTATTGACTTTATTTTGCTTCATTTATGGGAAAGTGTTACTCTAGGAAAGCTCTTTTCCGTAAATTATGAACAATATCTTTTTTTAATATCGATGTTCTCGATTTCATGGTTCAATGTAGCCTGCTCGTTACCACCCAGTGGGCGCTAGCCACTTTGTCGATGTTTTACGTGGGTGCCCTTCTTTCCCGCAATATGTTATCAGTGTTGCGTACCTCAAGGGCGTTTCTATATTAAGGGAGTTTATCTGCTACTTAGACAAAATGCTCCTTTGATTTGTTTTGCATTTACACTTTCCCTATAGTTAACAAATGGTTTACTTGGAAAATGACTCTGCACCTAGTGGTAATTAAGAAAAAACCACAATTTTTCGCAACTTATAAACTTCGACCTTAAGCTGATCTCAACGTTGCAGTACGCCATGACGCAGTTAAAAAATTCATTATAGAAGGGGGGAACACCAAGCTTCATACGACTCTTCGGCGCTAAGCAGAAGACCATTATTTTTACAAAACAAAAGAACTGAGTCCCGTGTTCAGCATTGATGTGCAATAGTTTCTTGAAAGTAGCATATTGAGCGTGGTACCAGAACATTGTAGCATGACCCGTGTAAAAAATTCATGGCGATTTGTTTTGCAGGTGTTTCCTAGGTCACATACGATTCAACGGGCCAGACAAATAACAGCCACATCTCCAGAAAAAATATGAAGAAAGTTATGTCTCACCTTTATTAACCGGAAATAAACTAGTATAATACAATGCAGCATACACTGTCACTCTATGACAAGTTAATCAGCACTGAACTGATGCTGGTGAACGAATAAAAGGTTTGTGTTTTCGACTTCTCAATCTTTATTCTACGAATATAGAGCTTATAGTGGCTTGATTGGGAGTGTCGCTTTATTATTTGATGGGTGAGTGCAGTACTGTTCCGCTAAGAAATCCATGTCTGCTCTACACAACGACGTTGTTCCCAAGCACCGAAAGAAATAATGTACATAGAGAGGGCTGAACGCACATCTTCAATGTGCCTGCGCATTACTGCTTTGATTATGTGACATGAATGCAATTGCAGAGCGCAGATGAAAAGAGAGAGTGTCTGAGAAAATTAGTGCCATAAAAAGAGACGCCCCACCATTCATACGGGATCGCTACTTATTACACGGCAAAAGCTGCCATTGTTTGCTGTTGACGTGTGATAGACTGAAAGCAGCGCTTTATAGCTTCACAGGCACGACCCCTGTCAGCATCATTAATAATATAATCGGAGTATTTTACGTACCGAAACCATGATAAGTTAGGAAAAACCCCGTATTGGATGTTTCATGTAATTTTGAACGTCTGGTGTTTTTTTTACATTGCTGATATTGTTGATATCGTATAGAACACAGGCCTCTAACATGCAACCACCGAAACCGGGATTGAACCTGGGACCTTTAGGTCAGCTGCCGAGAACTTTAACCACTGCAGAATCACGGCTGACCCTGCAACATTACTGAATGAGGTGAAGATCTTTGTGTGACATTGCAGTTTTTTATACAAATAACCAGTAATTTTCACCTGCATTCACGTTCACAGGCACTGTACTGCCTTTTAAAGCAGCTGACAATATTCTTTTACAGGCTGGAAGGTTTTTGTTTTTTGTTAGAAATAAGCGCAACATATTCGAACAATTGGGTGTTCGATTTCACTAATACAAAGTTATGGTACCACGTAATCGTTAAAGTAATGACACTGTGAACGCCACAATACGCTTAATGAGGAATAGTATGCATGCATTTTAGGAGTTAAACGAACAAAAATTCTTGTCATGTCGCTATTACTCCCACCACTCTTCGCTATATCAAGGACACGTATTTTACCTAGCAAGCAGGATAAACATGGATTGCACAACGCGTACAGACATGACACTCGAAATTGAAGGTAATGATGAACATCTCAATTTGAGCTTTCGACTGAAACACTTTGTCACCTCTTTTAATTGTAGTAATTGACAAATACATTATAAAGGCGCGAGGTTTTTTTTCGGTTACAAGCTGAGCGCAGTGTGTGAAGGACAGAATGTCGTTCTGGTAATCTTTCACATTGATTTATCTATAGCACAATAAGCTATTGAACGAATCAGCCAATCATTTTTTTTTCATTTCTTCAATGTAAACAGCCTAGACGCAACGCGACTGCGTTTGAAACATGATGCTAAATTCAAAGAAAAGAAATATGAAATCAAAAAGCTTATTCAAAACTTCAGGATTTACTGATATGAACTGGTCATCGTCATGAAAGCTGAGAGTATAATAACGTTGTTTAGCCTATAATGTCGAATTTCTTGCGGGTGAAAGATTGTGTTTAAACAACAAATGAAACCCTTTTACTGAAGAAAGATGCGCCGGGTTGCATTGGTTGCTACTGACAGTTTTCTACGTTATCTTGTAAAAGAATTCAGAAATTTACAAGTACATATTGGCGGAATCCATTTCCGATGGAGATGTAACTTTTGTAGGCCCGTGTGCTCACATTTGGGTTCACGTTAAAGAACCCCAGGTGGTCGAAATTTCCGGAGCCCTCCACTACAGCGTCTCCCCTAACCATATGGTGGTTTTGTGACGTTAAAGCCCACATATCAATCAATCAATAACGGTGGAATTAAGAAAGTTGATGTCATCATTACTTACTGGCCTATCGTGGGTTTGATGAAGATCTATCGTCGTAGTGCACCTTAATGATCAATCATGATTAATGTCGATGCCAATATCTTTTGAAGCTCTCAGTATTTTGAGGCCTAATATTCACTGAGGTTCTCCAAGCTGCAACAGAGAGTGACAAATAGCTGTTTAACAAAAATCTGAAGAGGGGTCAACAGAAACAAAGCTTGACTTATTTGAGAGAAATGCAATCAAAGAAAAGTGACATAAAGCATTTTCTCTCCATTGGCTATTATCAATAGAAAAAAATAATGTTACCTTATGCGGGCAATATACAGTAAGGATAGTGCAGTAGAAACAAATTTGGTTAGCCCTGCAATAATTGATCGCATATTGTTCAATCCTTACGGCAAGGGAAACACTGTCCCGAAGGCTCTCACGTAGTGCATGAAGCCGTCATAGTCATGAACAATACACTCACACACGACAATAAAAAAAGCATAAAACTTTTAAAGCAAACTGAATAATTAAACATTACTCGACTTAAAAGGATGAGGTCGTTGAACGCTAGCTTAAATGCAATAATGCTTAACAGGTGAGAAGTAAAATCAAATAAGTAGAGCATAAAGAAAACAATGAGTGCGAGTTCCAGCCTGACGCAGTGACCTGACTAACTGCAAGAAAATTAAAATTGGCAGAACTGGAAGTGTTGTTAGTTGACTTCATATTTAGAAGTTGAAACTGGCTGCTCTTATACATTAGGAAACGTTTCAGCCCTATGGTGTTTTTTTTGTGTGACTGCAAGCCTTATATGAGGGCTTCAATTTTTGAAATCATTCTACTCATAACTCCCCAGGACCAACACGAAGACCAAGAACATAATTAAAACTTAAAGAATTTCTTGAGAAAACACAATCGCTGCTAAACTACAATCTTGTACCTTACAGAACACAATAGCCGAATGAACTATAATTCATCTTAAAGGGCCAGTCTGACTATGCTCCCAAGAAACAACGTTAACTATTCTGAAAAGAAAAGCATTCCTGTCCCTTAATGCCCCCTTCCCCTAATTATACAAGCAACGGAAGAACCCCTTCTCTATGCACCCCTTTCCGAGTACTGGTAAGACCTTTTCAAAATGAAAATATTGTATAAAGTCTTGATAATAAACATAAGTGAATACATTCAAACTCAGATCCAACAGGCGTTTAGTTAGATTGTTTATTGCACTCATTTTCGTAAAAGTATATTCATGGAATATGTTTCACACTCTAGGTCATTCAGAGTATTAGCAACATGAGGAACATAAATATTAGCAACACCCGAAGCGATAAGTTGATATAAAGCGCTGGTGATCCCAAGAATGGTAGCACCAGACGCAGCAACATAAGTCAACTTCAACGGATGACAAATAACTACAATTGACGTTAAGCCAATGTAACAGCTGTATCATAGGAGTACATACGTAATGTTTATAAAATTTGATAGCCAGCACTGCAATTACAGGTGACGTTTCGAGCACATTAGGGTCTATTCGAAAAGTAGTTCCGAGACCTGACGTGGCTCTGTGGTATAATACTTGATGCCTTCGCAGAATGCTGGGGTTCAATTGCTCTAATCATATCGTGGTTTTGGGACGTTAAACCCCACATATCAATCAATCAATCAATCAATTCCTCTGCTGGGACCCTGACATTTATTCTTTTGGATTCGTCGGGTCAACACTGCTAATGTCTGTTTTTTCTTAACGCTTACGCGTTACAATTACCCATGTGTGCTGAAACAAAAAGATTGAAGATAAAGTAATGACGCGAAAAAGCAAAATAGACAAAGGAAAGAGAGAAATGCTAAAGAAGTTAGTAGGAGCCAGGTATATTGGGTTAGTTTAATGGTCACGACGGCCATCGGAAACAAAACATAGACGAGAGAAAAAATCACTAACATAAAAATACATAAAGGCCAAGAAGAAGAGAAAGTGATGGCAACAAAACAAAGAAAACAGTTAAAAAAGGAAGTAAGGGGGAAGTGGGAAATTATGGGGGTGAGGAGAACAAAAACAAGAAAAGGTAGAGATGGTGGAGACGAATTGAGCAAGAGAGAAAAATATTGAAAGAAACAGGAAGCTCATTAGAAATATTGAGAAACAGAGAGATCAATATAAAAATACCAAGAAAAACAGAAAGAGCAATAAAGAAGATAAAATAGAGACACATATGTAGGAATAGAGAGAGAGAAAAAAAGAGACAAGAACTGCTACGAGAAAAAAAAAGCTACAAAAAGACACAAACAAAAAAAACACAAAAGAAATATGAAAAAATCCCCGCCCAAGCCCTCTGTACAAATGGTTAACCAGCGAAAGCTGAAACGTGCTGCCCTGGTGTTTAGCATTGGGTTGAACCGGCGTGGCCCTGAAGCCTTGGACATATATTGGTTACCACTCCCTGCTTGGTCATGAGGTTAGACACACGTTTGGCTTGGATTTACTACAGCGTTTATTTCACACGTCACATATTGTACCTACCGTGATCACGGTCATGGAGGAGTATAATCAGTGGTTAAATGCGTTTTGTAATTCGTTAACCACAGTGGTTGTTCTAGAAGCACATACGGTCCCAGACGTCGCAGCGGAACGAAGTGCTGCTGGAGAAACTACAACCGAAACTGGCATCATATCATGGAGCAATCTCGCAATTCATTACTATGAAAACAGATACGAGCTATTATTTTCGGCACAATAGCAGACAGACAACACGTGAACGCACACCGGAAAACAAGGCATATTTACAATAGATCTGCGATACGCGAAAGCGTAAGCCAAAATGAAAGAGACAAACGCCCCAGATACACCAAAGTGACGTCGCTTTCCTTGGTGCCTACCTCGCTGCTTCAGTGTAGGAAGACGTGATTTTGGTGTATAGGCCACGGTCTTCTTTTCCGTCTTGACGCCTTGTTTCCCGGTGCGCCTTCACGTAACAATTTGGTGGAAGATGCTAGGTAGAAATGAATAACAGAGCTTCCCAGCAGGTGCCTAGTCGTCACTTGAAAGATGTACCGGCAGGATTGATGTGTCAACAGCCTCGCCACAAATACCGAAATCACGTCGTCTTCAATAGTGCCTCTCTCGCTGCTTCATTACGAAATAGTCATAAAATGTCAGCAAGTAATATATATATATATATATATATATATATATATATATATATATATATATATATATATATATATAAACCATTTAAAAAAAAAGAAGGCATAGGGAGCGTGTGGGTGGGGCCCCTATTTCATGGCACCACTGGATTGAGCGCCCCGCTGCGCCTGGTCGAAGAGCGCTATAGTTGCACTCCCAGGTTGTCGTTAGCGAAGAAAGTCTCTCACCGTTTTCGTCCGGAAAATTTGTGGGTATTTGCAGCAAGTTAATTTCGTATGGCCTGCTCTGAGATTCCAACGTTATGTGCGCGCGAGTTGGCCTGTCTCCGCACCATGGACAGCCATCGCTGTAAATCGTGGCGTGAATTGCGTGTTTCAACTAAAGATTCGGATATGTGCGTGTTTGTATAGGTGCCAGTCATAACAGTTTCACCCGATTAGAGCAGGGTGTGGTACACTGTACTTTGGTCGCTCAAGCCGTTGGTGCGCAAAGATGTTTCGCGGTAAAGAAGGGGCTGTCGTCAGAGGGGCCGGCTACTCGGTTAGTAAAAGCACGAGCTGCGCCATTCGCTCTCTCATTGCCATCGAGTCTTGGGTGACCCGGGACCAGATGTTATCATAATTTTGCGTTAAGTCCGGCAGTAATAAGCAAATCAAGTTGTATGGTAGTCTTTCGTTAAGAAAGAGTCTACATGCAACAATTGAATAGGTAAGAATAGGAAACAATTTTCCCAGGATATCCCCAGTTTTAAGAGCAAGCGCAATGGCTCAGTCGTATTCTAGGACGCGGCTCGAGCCGTAGTGTAAGTAAGAAGGCCTTGACCCGGGGCCTCTCCTACGAGTGTGAACGCGTACTTGTTTGTGCTGGATAAGGTGACGTCTCTGTACACCCGTGTCCGGGTTATTCCCGAATCGCCACTGGGGCTTGCGAGCTCGTGCACATCAAAGATTGCGGTGTGCGCCTGTCCCTCCACTGACTTCGCTCACACGTTGGAACAGCTGGCAACGAGGAGGCTGACGCTGCCACTAAGGCAGCACACCACTGTGACACGCCAGTCACCAAGGCGGTAGCCCAGTCGGATTACTCACGGTAGCGACTGCGGATGCTCCTACCAACGGCCCACCCTGAGACACGGGTGGCAAGCCACAAACCTCCACCATCCCTTCCGGAGACCGGCCTGGACAGAGAGTGGTGTTGGGCAATTTAAAATTACTTAAAAGAACATAAAGTGTTAAGCCCTGCCTGCTGCACCGAAGTATCGCAGGCTACCTGATTAAAATAAAAAAATAATAGGACAAGATATGTCCAAGAATTCGTTTTGATAAAATAAAAGAAAAGAATAAAAGAAAAGGGTGAAACGACACCACCAGCGAAACGACAGCCGAGGGAGTGGACCGGCAAAATCAGGGTATTTATTTTGTATTTATATTATAAACTAATTTACATGCTATGTCTAGTCTTCGTCTTGACTGACAGCGATTGTTCTTGTTTTGTCCTCTAGTGTAAACCAATGCATAATGATTGTATCTTCGTTCCTCTTGATTACCAAAGCTTCCGTTTCCTTGTTCTTCAAGTCGCCGTGTCAATCTTGTTCTTACCGTCTGTTTTCATGATGTCTTTCCTCCCGTCTTTTTGTAGGCTGGTATCTTATTTTCTAACTAATTTACCCTTCTCTAAGGTCCCCTCGTTATTGCTCTGGACAGATGAGAGCGGCCGTTGTTGCTTCGCCTGCGTACCGGCAGCGCCTGGCCTGCGGCACTCATGTATTCCGCGAATCGCTCTTCATCGCCAACGTACTGAAGAAGTGGTGATGACGAAACGCTGCAGCATATTATTTGCTCCAGCCCTGACCTGCCACAGAGCGCTGTGCACTGGTGAGCCCCTATCATCTGCTTGGTCTAGCTGCGGCAGCGATGGAAGACATACTTTCTCCCGCGCGCTCAAAGACGCAAGCCCTCCGAGCCTTCCTCAAGTTCTGGGCATGTGCGGACCTCGCCGCCTTGTAGAAGAACGCT